TTCTATAAGAAAAAAGAAATGCATATATTCGGCATGGCTAGCCATAGATCATCCACACATAGGAGAGACTGAGTTTATCATCGAAAAGCGAATGATCAATAGTATTTAAAATGACAGCGTTTCTATGCTTGAACAGTATTGAGTACTCTAGATATGCGAAATCTTTCTTAGAGTGGACAACTCGAAAATTATTATAGAAGATGATAATGAAATACATCGTCAAACAAGAATCGATTAGATATTAAGTACTCTTTTAATATATGAATTTTTATACGAATGTTAGATATCGACGAATCAAGATAGTGCATTCAAAAACCATCTCTATTTTTTGATGAAATTCCATAACGAAACTTGCTTATGTTACTAATTCTTGCAATTGAAGTGCCGTCTCCAGATAGAACTCAGCAAGTTTCACGGAACACATCCATTTTGAGCACAGTTTGATTTACTATTCGAAGCTATTTTTTGGAAATATTGTATTACGGAGTTTCATTAGTATTCGAATTTTTCTGGATGGAATATTTAGTTAATCAAAAGTTCAATTTTTATTTTTCTCAGATCGAAAAAATTGAAAAATACACCATGTGATGCAGAATCCAACACTGGCGATGTATATCTGTTTGCTTTTACTTTTATACTGATTCAAATTGCAATTTTCAGAAAAAAAAAAGCTGAACAATTCTTATATAGAAAGTATATGTTGAATAGCTCAGTTTGAGCTAAAGAGAAAAATCAATGAAATTTTTATCGATGGTAGCTCAAATGGTATCTATCTATTATAAAAGTTTCAAAGAATTTGCTTTTATTACTGACGAGAAATAGATATTATAATGTAAAAAACAGAATAAAATTTCGTAACATTTCCCAACACCAGATGTCTAAATCAATCAACAAGAAAGAAAAAGAAAACTTGATATTTACTTACCTCTTCTAGTATCATCAATATTGTTTGCATTAACAATAACAATTGTTTGTGTCATAGCACGTCCATAAACATTTTCGACATAAAATGTATATAAACCTTGTAATTTTGAAGTAATTGATTCGATAATTAAGATTGATGAACAATCTGCATTAACTACAAATCCATGTTCTATTGGTCGTGGTGTTTGATCATTTAAATATTGTACTTGCCAAGTACAATGACATTCATCTGATGGTGTTATATATTCAATTAGAAAATGTAATTGTTCACCAGGATAATATTTATATGTAGGTTGAAGTGATCGAGTTATTGTTGGTGGTATACAACGATTGAAAGACGTTGTTAATGACCATGTATTATCAGTTGTTAATCCTTTTTGGATTGTTTGAATAGATTGTTCTTCAATTTCAGTTGTTACGTCTAAAATATAAATATATTTCTAAAGAAGACACATAGTTTGTTTGTTTTTTTTTGATGTTATAAAATTTTGATCAATAACTGTGAATGATCGATTACATCAAAGATAAATAAGTTAGAAAAATAAAATAAATGATCTATTTTAAAAATTCAATCTTTTTTTCTTAAACTTACTATTAACAAAAAGATAAGCACTTGATTCATCATGTAATGTTTCATTATCATAACCAATATAAATTGTATAAACTTTTTCATCTTGTTGTTGACAATGTTGTATATCCATCCAATAACGGTTTTCTTCTGGTATAGAACCAAATTGATATTTAAAATTATTATCATT